GCCCTGCAAGCTTTGCTGCACTTCCGGTGCACGGTGTGTGAGCCCACACAGGATCCTGCTGCCACTAGCCCGGCATGCCCGCCTTGTCCCTTGACCCCTTCCAGCCTCAGCAGATGCTCACCCTTATAACCCACTCGCTGCTCTGGTCGCCAGGCCTTCCAGGGGGTAGCTGCTGGCTGGTGCTTTCACCTCCCCTTCAGCATCGGGGCTCCGCCGCTGCTCTGAAGTCAGGGGCCTTTGCTGAGAAATCGCCGTGCCATGTGGCAAGAGGACCATTTTATCAGGCAAAACATGAAAACATACGGAGACCAAAAAATCGGGGCTGACTTTCTTCCCCCCACCCCCCAAGCCCCCAACCTCCGTGGTCCTCCCGTTTGGGGAAGATCCGCGGCGGCTGTGCCCGTGGCCCAAGGCAGTCAGTCAGCCCCCGGTAAAGTCTTGGTGAGCTGACTCAGACGATTTTTGGGAAAGGTTGGATAACCGATCCCCACCTCCCCACCCCCACTCTGCGCTGGAGTGACTCAGGGCTGAACACTGGAGGAGGAACATTTGGATTGAATGATGCTGCCCCCCACCCCTGCAGAGCTCGCACCCCAGCCCTCCCACAGCGCCCCTGCTCTCCAGGCAACGGGACCCAGCCAGTGCTGGAGGACAGAATGCTATGGCCCAAATGGCCGGGGCGTCCGAGGAGCTCCAAGGGCACAGACCTGCTCGGCCTCAGGGAAGTGGGGCCTCTCTCTTCACCCCCAGGGACTTCTCTTGGCTGGCGAGGCCTGGCCTGTACCCTGTTGGGGAATAAAATGCACAACCTTCTTGAGGAGGACTTGAGTGCCCGGCCAGTTGTGTTAGAATCGAGGTTGTTCGGAAGGCACAGCTGGGCCTCCGTCTCCAAAGCAGCCGTGCCCACATGCTCGCTCCTGTGGGTTCCTGACAGACGTCTCTGGCGGACTTACCAGGCAGTTCTAAGCCTTACTCTCTCCTCTGCACCCCTGCCCCTATTCCAGCAGAACCTCAAGGCATGCTGCAGGATGCGCCAAGAACTGCCAGCCCTACGCAAGGTGCGGGGGCAGAAAGCTGGGCCTTGGCTGGGGATGGAAAGATCCTTCGCCTGGAGGTGCCACCGTCCGCCGGCCCCGCTCTGGTGCTCCGGGCACGATGGGCCTTCGGCTGAGGACAACCCTACCTATTAAAGCACACCTTTCTCAGGTCCCGATTCGGGGCCACTTTCCAGGCAAGCAAAACTTTGAGGAGAGGCCTACCTCATCTGGTCCTAGCATGGACATCCTGTTCCCAGTTGGGGGGGCTCTGGCACTTGGGCACACATACCTGAGGCGTACTACCGAGAGCAGCGTCTGCCGCTGAAGCCACTTGCCCGCAGGAAC